AAACCATCATAAGATTGTATTTCAATGACACTTAAAAAAAATAAAAAATGAAAAATAAAACAGAAAACAAAATTCTATCAGTGGTTCCCTGTTGCTTTCCAAATGTCTCAGTTCATCAAGAAATGTTTAGTTTTGCCGGTATATTAAGTGCTAGGGAGAAGATATTACCTTCAAGGAATTTATAGGGAGTGGAAAGACAAACATATACATAAATAATAATTTGATACTTACAAATGCTGTGAAGATAAAATGGAAAAATGTATGGTAGAGACCTGAGTAGAGGAGGGGCAATGGTGCTTGAAGGCTAAGAAAACAGTATTTGAGCTGAGAGCTAAATGATGAAAATGTGGCAATTATGTGAACATCTGGAGGACAAGCATTTGAAACAGAAGAAATCCTCTGCTTTTTTCAGGCAAATGCGTGAAGTGTGGAAAAAGTATGACGTTTCAGAACAGAAAGACAGAAGCTGGAACATGTGAATAAGAGGAAACATGGAGAGGCTGAGGTTGGAGAGCCTTGTCTTCAGCAGATCATGTAAAGACCCAGCTTATGTAAAGCTTAATAATACATTATAAAGACTTAAATTTCTTCTAAGAGTAAGGAGAATTTATTATAAGACTCTAAATGATGTGTTGGGTTTAAAAAAAAACAACTTAGATAATCATTTTGGCTCTTAAGTAGGTAAGAATACAAGTAGATCACTTTGGAGAGTGTGGGCAAAGTGCTGACTAGAGATGACAGTGGTTTGGACTAGGCTAACAGCAGTGGGAATGGTGAGAAATAGTTGGATTTGATGTAATTTTGGACACTGGACTGATGGATTTTACTGACAGACTGGATGGTTTCTAGGATTTTGGCCTAAGCAAATGGCAGGTTCCACGTGGCTGGCCCCAGTGGAGTCTTTTACTAAGATTAGGAAAGCTTAGAAGGGAATAGATATTTGGGAGGGGGAAGTCAATTATTCTGTTGTGGTCATACTAATTTGAGATGCTTATTGGATACCTTTATAGGGATGCTGTGAAGGCATATGAATATAAAAGCTCAGGCTTATATGTATCTTTCTAGACTCATTTCTCACTCCAGCCATACTGAAACAACTTAAACTTCTTCTAGGCCCTTTTTTTGGCATAAGCTGTTACCTCTGTCCAATGATTGAAGTTAAGCTAAGCCTCAGATGGGAGATGGCAATGGAGTTCATTATTTGTTAGTCTATTCTCAGCCAATGTTTAATGAAATACAGCATCCTACTACTTCTCAACCCAGGAACCTTTAAGCTCCCCTGGGGTTTGTTATCTTATTGTTTTTTTCTGGCTTGCCTCAGTGTGAGGACTCCTAATCAAAGCCCAATTACCTCTTTGTTTTCGGTGGTATGCTTTGGTCTCTTGGCCTTGGGCTCCCCGGCAGCATCTCCGTCAGATGATCTCCTCCTTTTACCTTTCCCTGCCGAAGGCAACAGCTGAACAGTTAGGCTACATCTCATATGTTGACAGTAAATGACTGAACAGGACAGTAGGTGTCTCTCCATCTCAAAGACATCTGTAGCTGCCTCTAGGTTAGAGTTGCTGAAGAGACTGAGGAACTACAAGATATTCAAGTTAATGATGAAGTCACCTGAAACTCAATATGGTCAAAAAGAAATTCATCATCTTTCTCTCTCAAACTGCTCCTGCTCTAATGCTTCCTTTCACAGTGAATAGCATCATCATCCTCTCACACACACAAGTCAGACACGTAGATGTCATTCTTAACCCTTGTCTTCCTCACACCTTCTGTATCTAATGGTATCTAATTTTTCACTGGTTTGTCTATATTTATCTTTGCTGCATCCTTCCTGCAGACAGAAAAATCTTTTAAAATGCGAATTAGATCATGTCACTTCCTTTAAAATCCTTTAGTGGGTTTCCTTTGCCTTAGGATAAAGAACAAATGCTTTACAAGGTCTTATTTGATTTAGCCTGTCTGTCTCTCTAATCTTATCACATGGCTCTCTTTATCTTGCTCACCACGTTTTAACTACACTGACCTTATTTCCTGAAATATCCTATTTTTTTCTCACTACATACTAATCCTTTTGCCAAAAATGCTTACGTTGCTCCCCTTCATATCTTATCTCACTGGTCGGTTCCTACTTCTGCTTCAAATCCTAGCTCAAATGTCACTTTCTCTAAGAAGGATGTGCCCTAAGCCCTATAAATCTGGTGTCTCTCTCTCTCTCCCTGTCTGTCTGTCTCTATACATATTCTGTTATATATTTTCATAACACCTCATACTTCCCCTTCATAGTACTTAACAGTTTGTTAATTACACATCTGCATGGTTATTTGGTTAATGTAACTTTCCTACACTAGACTTAAGCCCCATGGGCAGGGACCATGATGTTTTTTGTTCATCATTTTATATATACCACAGTACCTGGCAGAGAGTCAATCTTTGGTAAAACTGCTCTATTGATTCATTTATTCACTTAACAATCATTGAGGAAGAATCCACAAATAGGGCAAGTCACAGTTACAGGGATCAAAATTCCTTACCTATCAAGCTCAGTTTAGGAACCATGTACATATCCTTTTCATTGATGACAAGGGTGGGAGCAGGCGGCAGTGGCCCAGGATCTGAATTCTCAGTGGCAGGCACCAAGGGGCAACGCTGCACAAAGTGTGTGTCTGCTAGTCGCACAAATGTGTTTGATACCTCAGCATAGTCCATGGTCTTGCCATCTGTACAACAGGAGGAAAGATGCAGGTGAGATGGTCTAAGATAGTGGAGTGTCCACTCCTATAGCCAGCCAATCTATGCTTTTGCAAATAGTTGTGGATACAGTACTGACCCTCCATAGTCTCTGTGAGCCGGTCTGCCACTTTCTTCACAACAGCTGACATTGTCATTTTCCCATTCAACAGCAGCTCTTCAACAATTAGCTCCCCAGTGTCACTGTACAGTGTTTTGGCAGTATAGATGTACCGTGGATACCTAAGCATTCGCAACACCCGGCTGCACTGGGCTTCATACTCCACCACACCACGTTTGTGCACTTGATATATCACTAAATTATGTTGGATAAGGACGCAAAGGGCTTTTTTTACCTAGATAGGACCCCAAAAAAAGAGGGAGATCTGAAAACACAGCTTACTATTGCTGGCAATTTTTGTTACAGTTTACTAAGCATAAAGAAATGGCTGGATAAGAATCTCTGTATTTCTTCCCTTCCCTCCACTGGAATAGCTAGTAAGAACAACATGTCAATAGAAGAAATGAGGAATATTCCTTGCTATGATGCTCATATGATCTTTCAAAGTACAATTTACTTCCCTTTATTATTCTCATTCCTTAAAAGTAGTACTGAGCTTGATAGAAATCTCATTATGAATAAATGAGATATAGTACTGGAAGAGCAAAGACTTGCCTAAGAAGTCACAATGAGACAGGAACACTTTGAGAAGGAGAACCTTGGGCCTACATCTCCTTTTCTTTACCCCAAATAACACTGCTCTGATCCTAGGGTAGGACTGCCCCCTTTTCTATTTTGCGGGTATAGGGACTAACAATATTCAAAGGTAGATAAAAGCAAGCAAATTAATATCATCCAAACATACCTGATCCAGCGATGTTCCTGTGTCATGGGCTATTACTCTCAGGGGCTGGCTGCCAGTTCTGATTAGGTGGACTCCAATTTTTTCTACAATCTCTCCGAAATGCTCTTGCAGCAACAAAGAACACAATTTAATTTCTGCGTGAGTCATTGTGCTGAGGAGTCTCAGAGCTAGAAAAAGGAAAGACCATATGATGGACAGTTTCTTTCATGTTGGGAGTAGAGCTGCTGAGTGCAAATTCATGTTCTTTCTGGAGAGCAATTTGACATTATATATCAAATATAATGTCATATTTAAAGTCTTGCATACCTTCAACCTAATAATTTCATTTTAGATACTCTGTTCCAAGGAAATAATAAAAAGATGTCATTATAGTTCTTTTTAGAATACTGATATACTGGAAACAACCTAATATCTAACAGTAAGGGATTAATTCAATAAATTACGGTATACCCATACAAATGAATACTATGCCAACATTTAAAATGAAGTTTAATATATCCTACCATTGAAAATTGTTCACTAAGTAAAAGAAGCAGGCTACAAAGCAAAATGCAGAGGAAAATTCAGTTATTGTGAAAAACATGTATGCATAGAAAAATAGAATGGAAGATGATATATCAGATTCATCTTTATGGGATTATGTGTGATTCTAATTTTCATTACTGGCTTTGAGATCTGTAATAGACCTTAATTTCATTGCTTGGAAGAATTAAGGCCAATCCATAAATGAAATGACAACTGAGGCAAAGACATTGAGGGCTTCCCAATAGGGTGTTCAAATAGGAGCTGAAGTATGTTGTTTGCAGGGCTGTACTTAATTTTGAAATTTCTACTCCTTGACAAATTAGACACAAGCAGAAACAGACGTAGTTGACTGCATAATTACTTCCTTATTATCACAAGTGCTACCAAACATTGTTTGTTAGTTTTATTTCTACCATTTTCTCAGAATCCAGTTCCTCATTGCCTCTTAGACTCAGTATCCGCATCCGCTTGGGAGGGCATCCCCAGACCCTTTTGCCATCCTAGGAGCTTGGCTCCTGGCTCTTCACTACCTTTACGCAGACTCCTTTTCCGGAATTTGTCTCTTTAACCAGAGCCAGGGCCGTCTTGTTCAGACAGCATTTTCCACTAACCTTTGTGTCAATGCAATCTAACGCGGTTGGTTTCGGGCGGCTCCCACTAGCGGTCCGGGAAGAAGGGAAACCTACCGCCCTTTCTAGCAAAAAGATCGACGAGGAGGAGGATGCGGAAAGGGGAAAAACGTGTGCCGCTCTACCCTAGAGTTTCGGTGGTTTCCGGGGACGCTCTTTCTTTCTTCTCGCTGGAAGGTTGGAGGACGGGCTAGGGGCTGTTTGAGAAGCCGGCGGGCGGGCCGCGGCGGGAGGACTCCTCTTCCTGCGCCTTCCTGGGGCGGGGAGGCGGGCCGCCATCCGCGCCGCCGCCTCTCAGGCCCCGGCCGACTCACGTGACCGACGTGGGCTCTGGTGCCGCCCGCCGCACTGAAGAAGCGGCGGCAGCGGCGGTGGAAGCCGCGACCGCAGCCGACCCGTAGCGGCCTGGCGAAGAACGGGCCCACTGCCCTCTCGGACAGCCGCGGCGGGAGAGAAAAATGGCGGAGGCCTCGGCGGCCGGGGCAGGCGCCGGCGCCGCTGTGACCGCGCACCGGTTTTTCTGCCACTTCTGCAAGGGCGAGGTCAGCCCCAAGCTACCGGTAAGAGCTCCGTGTCCCCTCGGGCATCCGTGTGGAGGCCTCGTCCTGAGGTCCGGGAATGTGTGTCAAGTCTATAATACCGCAGATTCCCCTTACATCGGCCTCCCAGATGTCCGCTCCTACTGCCTCGGTTGCCGGCCCCAAATCCCGGGCCTGCCGGCCTTGGCTCCGTAACTCCTGCCCAGCGTTTCTTCTTGCTCGGATTCTCCACCTGCTCCGCACTCCCTTTTCTCTCTTCACCTGCCCTCCTCCATCTTTTTGTTTTCCTTATCAATTTCTCCTCTGACAACTCTCCCCTCCATTTTCTTGCACTCTTCACCTTGTCTTCTTCCCACGATGACCTCTTTACCGCTCCTTGATCTCTGCGCTAATGCGTCTCACCTTCCTCTACTTCCTTTTCCACTTCACCAGATCCTCCCTTCCCCCCTCCTCAGCCTCGCGAAATAGAGGATTGCTGAGGATTCGTCCTATTCCGTAGTCTCTGGGGAAGGAAGGAAGCACGGAAAGAAAGAGGGTTGGCAGGTAACTGTGGGGCAGAGAGGGGGATTCTGCTGTTCACTGGTTTCCAGGGTTCTTGTGAAAGTGAAAATAGCAGTGTACTAATGATGTGGAGACGATCTGCACACCTTATCACTGTTAAAGGAAGTGGCTTCAGGAAGAAGTACATTCTGTTTCAACTTGGTTATTTTGGTTGTAGTGCTGCCAGTGTCATTAGCACCTCCTCACTTACCCGCCCCCTCCCCCATTCTGCCCCTTCGCTTAATGAAAAGATGAGGATACAGTGCTGGGCATTGCATCCTCTGACATGAAATGGTTTACACAAGTTTCTGTCAGACTATTAGCTTGTAGAGAGGTGGTGCTATGGTTGTGAAGGAAGTGCTTCTACAGTATGCTGGCCAGCTACAGCACATTAGACCCAGAGGCTGTTTGGGGTTGGGTTATAGCTGTTGCAGAGAGACCCACCGGGATGAAAGTTAATCCTACTTTGGATTCGTTATGGTCTTTCTTTTACGTAGAAGCATCCAGGTTCAGTCTTAAAACAGTTTGACTACGTAACAACTTACCTCTGTATTGTAGTGCCTCAGATGCAATCAGGGAGAAAGCCTATTAAAAGTTTGTATGTCTTACTTCTTAGAAACACAAATGGAGTTCAGTGTTCAGTGAGTGCCTAAAGGGTATTTTAGCCTTTTCACGTTAAAGTTGTGCCTTTTCAGGCATTTACGGCATTTTCTTTTCCCTCTACTTACCCTACCCCCAACTTCATAGTTATAGTTTTATTTACGTGCTCTCTTAGTTTTGCTTGCTGATTTGGCTCTGTGTGTGTGTGTGTGCGCGTGCACGCGCGGGGGATGGGGGGCAGAGAGAGAGAGAGAACATCAGTCTGCAAACCTCTTTTACCACAGTCTGAAATTCAGCCAGTGACATGTCGAATGTGATGCCCTGTTGAACATCGTAGCCTTAGTTCGCCTGATCTATTTAAGTTGCTGTAAACTATTTGCATTTAAGAGTGAGAAAACAGTTTTTCACAACTTGTATTTTTCCACAACTTATTGTATCTTTTCTTCTTACCACTTCAAGTCCTCCCTTCACAATGCTTCTGAAAAGGGATACTTTTTAGGCGTTTTTCTAAACCTTAGTTTGATGCCTAGAGGAGACGTTACTGATCTTTTTAGTGTAATTTATTATCTGTTGTGTCCTTATTTGTAAATTTGAGGCCAAACACAATTAAATATAACCGATAACCTCCTGCATGCATACAAGTTTCTTAGCTGAATGTTCTGGAAGCGATACCAAGAAATATGTGGTTCCTGCCCTTAAGGACCTCACAATTTTAGAAAGACAAGACAGACATGTAAAAGTAACAATGCAAGGTAAATATTGGTGCTTTAGAATTCAAAAGGGGATATGGTAGCATTGGTGAAGTGAGGTCTGGGAAGAAGTGACAGATGGGATGGGATTTAAATTGAGTATTGAAGGGTAGGTAGAATTCAGGTTGGGAATATCTGCATAGGTGGAGGTAGAAAAAGGAAGAATGAGTTGAGGAAGGGAGAAACATTTAATAAATCATTGTTCTGCATTTTTAGGAAAAGGTGCAGTGTGGTCAGGGGCATAGCTTTGTTTTGTAGATGAGCCAGTGAGTTTCATCTTGTTTCATGGCTTTTTCTCTACCCTTAACTCTAGAGTGTCATCTTGAAAATGTTGGTTGTAGAAATGACCAGGTCAGTAAATAGCAGGTTCAGTACAAATCTGTCTCTGCTACTGAAAAACCAACCCAAACACTGGTAAATCAGTTATATGATTTTCATATATATAGGACAGTATTGAAAAGTTTTTAAAACCTAGTTTATTATACAAACTTGAAGTACCCTCACTATAAGTACTCAGCATATATTAGGCATGCATTGTTTCCTGAGCTGGACAAATGTTACAGAAAACTGGGATGTCTTTCTGAGGATAGTTAGACCTGAACCCAGCTTATCTTGAGTAAAGTTGGTTTGTTGTTTTTTTTTTGTGTCTTGATTTAATGTGCATTTCAAGAGGGTACTTACTGTTGTTCTAGATGGATCACAGGAACCATCACCTATGAGTACTGTCCTCTGTGAACATTAGAGACTGAGTATTGAGTTTTATATCAGCTTTTAATGAGCTATTTAGTAGGTGGGTTTCTTTTAGTCTACCTGGGATGGACTAGTCTGTGGGATGGACTGCTTCAGAGTTATCTCATCTCTTGTCAGTTTATTCACTGCTTAAAGTCATAATTGTGTTCACTGGGAATAGGTTGCAAGATTTTACAACTCTTAATTTCTTCTCCTATCCCCAATCTCTAAGTTACAGCACTTCTTGATACATTTGGAAGTGTGTTCAGGCAATAACAATACCTTACCCAAGGTTCAGCCCTGAAACTACACTTAGGTTTTTGTTTATTATATTTCTTGTGCCACTACTTTGAAAAATTCATGGGTCCAGCTAACTTTAATGTCTGTGTTAAAAGAAATAATTTTGGTTATAACTTCTGAGAGATTGGAGCATGCCTGATGCTATGCAGGTTAAGCCACTTTCAGTTAAATTAGTTAAATTTGGTGAAATAACACTCCTACTGCTAATCTTGATCTATCCATTTTAGCTTTGTGTGTCGTTGGTTTGGATTCTAACAGATAAGAGAACGAAAGATTCATTTGGAAAGAAGATTTTAAGAAATGAGGGACGTCGTGAAGGGAATTTTAGAATGAAAATATATTCAGTGGTACTGTTATTGTTAGGCTTCAAAAGAGTTTCTACTCTCGAAATGAATATTGATTTAGGAATTTCGTTCTCTTCTTAAAAGTATTTTCCTATTTATGGTGAAAATAATTTTAGTGAATCCTAGGGTTTCAAGTTTATGTATGATTGGTAAAATGGCATTGTGTGGAAGAATTGTATTGATAGAAGAAATTCTCAAGTAACAAAATTATTTTCAAAACACAGCAGAAGCTTCTACCTCGCCTGACTATCCTTTGAAAGACAGTGTGAAGCCTCAACTAATAGTTATTTGCTATAGGGATGACTGGGTGGTGCTGCAGAAGGCTGTGTCATGGAATGTAAAGGTGTCATTCCATCTCCACAATACCTTCCCCCACTTTTAAATCAAGGTCGGGGAATGTTACCTTGTGAGACTGAATCTAGTAAAGTTATCATTAAGCAGGTGAGAGAAGTCAAATGCGGTGTAAACTACTTTTGGTATAGATAAAAATAGTGGTTCTTAAGTGTTTTATGGAGATCAGAGTGTCCAAATCCAGACAAGAGACCAATCTAATTAAGGACTGCTAGTGTGTTGCTCACCTCTGAGGCTCTGCCTGATGGAACTAGCAGGTTTCTCTCCCTCTCATGTCTCCTTTATTATATCACCTTTGATCTAATGAAATATCATCCTTATCAATAAGTGATGTTATCTGGCTTGGTTCTTTACCAGGTGCTGTAGAAGTGATTATCATTGTGCTATACTTGTAATGAGTACATTGTACTATACTTGTAATAGTGTATTACAGGAAAACTTGATAAACAGCCCATAATAAGAGGAGCTAAAAAGTACATTTCTTAAAGACCTTGTGACTCTTAAAACTCTAAGCTCACTGACCTTGCTTCTTACTTTATTCTTAGAAAAATCCCAGAGCAGTGTGTAAGTAATGTTAGTAATGTTGTTGAATTGGGGAAAGGAATTTAGTGATCTGAGCGCGGTTTGAGAGGTTTTAATTATTAGGTATCTTAAATTCTGCTATTGGTGACTTACCAGATTAAAAAGTCTACTTGATATCTAGCATTTTATCTGGTACTATGTGATAGCTGCTTAGTAAATATTTCTTGAGTGATATAAATTGAATACTCACTAGTTAAATTACATATAAAAATAGTGGCTTTACTGTGGTGAGAGCTTTACCTAAAAGGTTTCAGTGGTACCTGCATTTTGAACTAGTGTCAGTAAATATATTTCCTGCAAGGATGTAGAATTAAATATGTTTTCTTATGGGTGGAAGGCTAGTTCTAGTTGTGAAATTCTGCTGATAAATAGACATGTGTATATTGGGGAAACCTGTGAGATTTTTTTTTTACTCTAAGGAAGAACAAAAGTCTTAAAATCAAACTCAATGCAGATGAAATTCTTTGTATTTTTTTGGGGAAGTACCAACTCTGGATGCTAACACTTTGTATTTCTTTTATGTTTACTTTATGATTTATGTTCAGGGAGAGCATGCCGAGGCCTTTCAGATAGCTATCATATTAGAATAGGAAAGATGTATATTGATTCTTACTCTCTATAGTTAAATTAGAAGGGGTCTAATAATAAGCTTGTAGATATTAACTTCTTCTTCATGTCTCTACAACTTAATAATAAGCAATAATGAAGATAGGGTAGAGCAGTTCTCAGCTGGGACAGTTTTACTCCCCAGGAGCACATTGGGCAATGTCTGTGATATTTTGCTTCTCACAATCCGGGTAGAGGGAGAGTTGTTTCTGGCATCTAG